TGTGATCTAGAACTGGTCCATTTGGTGTAGAACTGGACATGTGGAATAGAACTGGTCCATGTGGTTTAGAACTGGTCCATGTGATCTAGAACTGGAACCATTTGAAGCAGCAACAGTCAGGTTCAGTTCTAGTTTGGTTCCAGTTAAACCAGTTGCTGTTCTTCACCTCTATGTGTGCAGGAGATCCAGGAGCGTCTCCGGATCATCGAGCTGTGTTCCAGAGATCAGAACTTCGCTGATTTTGTGCGACAGACTCAAGTGTGAGTGTTTCTGCTTCACGTTTACAGTCGAGCAGGTTCTGAACAAGATGAACGACAGAAGAATCGTAGTGACGTTCTGCTGCCACAGCGTAAAAATATATTTATTAAAACCTAATATGGAAAAAAACAAAAGACAGAAAGTACGATCACGGTAGAACCGCCAGAATCAGCAGAACCGCCACACTAACCCAACTGTGTGTTGTTTGCTGGAGCAGGTTCCTGGAGAGGAGAGGGAGCTCGACCACGTAGCCGCCTGCGCCACCGCTCACCAACAGGTACCAGCAGCTTCTTTTCAGAACCAGGCTTCAGGTCCGTAGAACTGCAGAACCATGAGCCTCAGCGGGTCCACACACGTTTCACTCTGACCTCAGAGATTTCTTCCACTTGTTGGGATGCTTTGGCAGTTTCCCAGCAGCAGGAATCTAATGAGTCATCCGTCACCAGAACAACCGTGGCGCCTCCAGGTGTCGGTGGTCAGAAGCTGCCAGGTGACGGAACCTCAAGGTGCTGAAGACCGCTGTCACAAGGTCCAAGAGGTGATGGACAGCACCGCTAATCCTGTTTAAACCAGTTATTATCCAGTTTAAACCAGTTAATATCCAGTTTAAACCGGTTAATATCCAGTTTAAACCACTTCCTCTCCTGTTTAATCTCAGGACTGCATCAGGAGCACCTGATAGGTGGCGCCATAGAGCCCCTCCTGTAATGACACATTTCATGTCATGTCCAACAAACTGTCCAAAACATGCAACAAACTAGGAGGTCTGGTCTTGGTGGCGTGGTCCATCTTTTCCCACCGTCTGTGGGTTTATGGGACACTTTGGGCGAACCCTCGGACTCGCTGACGTTCCTGCAGCCTGAAGCCTTGAACTCGTACAAATGTTTGAGTTTTGTGTTGGTCTGATGAAAAACGCCTTCGTTGCTCCACAGAAGCTGCCTTTGTCTCGGACTCGAGGAGGGACGAGGAGCTCGTGGAGGTGGAGGTGACCAGAAGGTTTACTTTCTGTGGACGCTCCTTTCTTCTCGAACTGACCCTAAAGTGGACTTGGACTCTTCGAGTTCGCCTCTTTTCTCACTTGGACCTTTTCCTGTAAATACTTTTTGTTTTGGACGAACACTTTGGCGTTTTTACCGTTTCACTTACCTCTGTCTTACTGTCTGAACAATTCGTGGTTTTCATCCTCGGCTTGATTTCAAGGGTTTCTGTTTGCGTCCCGACCTGCCCGCCGCCGCCGTCCCACAAAACAGCCCATCTGAAGCCTCATTGGTCAGATCGGTGGAGGTTTTGGACCTCACCACAAAGTCGTGTTCAGGTTTCCTGGCGTGTTTTTAACGGACGGCGGCGACTCGCAGCGCTGCTTCCTGTCAGTGCCTTCACCGCTCGGTTAGCTTCTCTGGGATATGACGTGACACCTGCTTCCTGTAAATCCAACAAACCTCCGGCTGTGTCTCCCGCTGGACCTTCATCTCCATGTTTACATTCCTCATTCTGACCTGCTGAGTGGAACGTGTTCTGTTCAGGTGTTTCATCCTCTGAAATACTTTAAATCTCCAACAACAAGTTACCGCAGAGGCCGGTTTTTCTGTCCTGAAACTAGCGACTCCTCAGAGCGTCAGAAAGATTCGTCCAACGGATCGGTTCTGGTCTGTCTGCTGATGTTCTCATGTTCCTGCTTTAGAACATCCAAACCAAAGACCTCAGACTTTCCCTGATGACTGAGCCCTGACGTCCAAAAACCTGTTTGCTTTTTATTGGTATCGTTTTGTGTTTTTATGTTTGACATGTTTTTACACGGCTCTCACGAGATGCTAATGTCCGGAAGCCGCAAAATCCAACAAATACAGAACCTCCTCCACCGGACAGCCTGCGACAATCTCCCTTAACCTTCTGTCTTTTTGATTCTTGGACTTTTCTTTGCTTGTTGTTTTACTTTTATATTTAAACTCAGACAGCTGAAGTGCAGGTGGTTCAAATTCACAAGTTATT